GGGAAGTCTGACGCCTGAGGGCCCTTTGGGGGGGATGGGCTGTGAGCATTTGAGGGGAGCGTGGAGCTTTGGGAGCTCTGGGGGGTGGGGAGTGGGGTTGTTGTGAGCTCTGGGGGGGGTGGGAGGGAGGGGACACCGGGGCTCAGGGAGACACTTAGCACTGAGGGTGTAGGGATTTTGGGGGGAAATGGGAGCTCAGGTTGGGCGGACTGCACACAGTGGGGCATCTGTGCCCCCCTTCCAGCCCACCTCACCCCACCTCTGCACCCCCAGTGCTGCCATGAAGCGCCTCAAAGGCGCCGACTTTGTGTCCCTCACCGCCAGCCCGGAGGGCACAGAGGAGCTGCTCACAGAGCTGTCGGTGAGCTGAGGGGGGATGGGGGGGTCCCACCTCTTTGCTGAGTGATCCCCAGTTGGACACCAATGCCCTTTTTCCATCCCCTCTGCAGCAATGCCTCTCCAGCATCACGGCTGTGCCGGGCAGCGTGCAGAGCGCGGTGTGCGACCGCATCCTGCGGGCCTGCGTGCAGCGCCTGGCAGAGCCCAGCTGCAGCCTCACACACACCAACAAAGTGCTGGCGTTGGCCCAAGCGGCTTGCAGGGGCTTCGTCACCGCCTCCACCGCCCCGCCGGCCCCTCTCTACCTGGAGAAGATCCTCTTCCACCTGCTGAAGAACGCGGCTGCCCGCGGACACCGTGATGCCCGCAGGCGGGCGGCGGAGCTCCTCCACGCTCAGCTCTGCGCTCACCGGCAGCGCCGTGCGCCGTCTGCCGACTTCGGTGCCGTTGCCCACAGCGCCTTCTGCACGCTGTGGAACGCGGCGGGGACGCTGGGGGACCGCCTGCAGGCCCTGCGCTTCCTGCTGCTCCTGGAGGACGAGGAGGGCGCCGTGCTGCCCTTGGAGCCGCCCTTCTTCACCTCGCAGACGGCCCGGCAGGCGCTGGCGGCTGCCGCTCTCTCCAAAGCCCACCACGCTCCATCCTCGGCTTGCTTTGCCCAGGAGCTGCGGGGTGTCCTGAACTCCCTGCGCGAGGATGCGACGCGGCCGCCCGCTCTGCCTCAGGCCCTTTGCTTCTTGGAGCTGACGTTGGAGCAGTGCCGGCAGCTCTGCAAGAACGGCTGCTACGGGGAGGCTGAGGCGGCGCTGAGGGACGCGCGAGGATTCCTGGGGGGCTCCGAGGTGTTCGGCCAGGCCCTGGCCCTGCTGGAGGGCGGCGTGCGGCTGAGCCGGGTGCTGGCCAAGAACGGGGGCTCAGCAGGGCCGGCCCTGGCACAGGCAGCGGCGGCGCTGGGTGGTGCAGCGAAGGCGTCAGGGCGCTTCCTCAGGGTGCTGGCCGAGGGCTGCCAGTTCGTCTCCGCGTCCCTCGCTGAGCGTGCCAGGAGCAGCCAGCAGCAGCCGCTGCCTCGGGAGGACGTGCTCCAGCTCTGCGCCTTTGTGCAGGGCCACTGCCGTGTCCTCAGCCTGCTGCTGGACGTGGTGAGGCTTTGGGGGGTTAATGAGGGCTGTCCTGTTAATTAGGACTGCTGGAGGCATTGCGAGCCTTGCACTCCTGGCAGCGGTGTTCCTGTCCCCACCGGTCCTGCTGCTGCTGTGGCCATGCAGTTGATTTTCTTCTTTCTCCCTCAGGTTCCTCCTGATGGCTTGAAGCAGCAACTTGTGCTGAAGCAGCTGCTGTACCACAGCCTCCAGCTCTTCACCACCATGGCCTGTGACACCTTCCGCTCCTGCCAGGTACTGCAGGTGATGGGGACAGCATCTAATGGGGCTCACAGGGGCTGCTGGAGCTCCCCAGGGATGTGCCTGCGGTCCCTGAGAGGCTCTCCATGGAACCTCACAGCTCTGACTGCATCCCTCGCAGGTGGCCGGGTGGTCAGGGCAGGAGCAGCTGACATCGGGCTGCCAGGACACCGTGATGCAGCTGCTGGAGGCTCTGGAGGGACTTCCCCAGGGGGAGCAAGCCAAGTACCTCGACATTACCGGTCAGCATCCTCATAGCACCAAGCCTGCTTCCCTGGCATCGGGTTGGGGCAAACGTGGTCGCACACAGCTTAGCATCTTCCTCCTGCTTGTGGTCTGGGGAGCACCAAGGGAGAAGGGTCCCTCTGCCTCCCAGAACATGTGGCCAAGGGGCTGGCCTGCTGCTGGGAGAGGAGCGAGTGGGGTAATCCCTTCCCAACACGTCTTCAGTATTCATTTTCTTTCCTCTCAACAGCATCGTGCACGTTTAAGCTGGCGTACATCTTCTACAGCCAGAACCTTCACGAGGAAGCCAGCTCCATCTCTGAGCTCTTCTGCAAGAGACTGAAGAAAATCGATGCCTTTGGATTTCCAGAGATACCCCCTGAAAAGGTGAGCAGCTTCACGTCGAAGGGTTTGAGCTGCAACCTGGTGGCACAGGAGCGGAGGAGAGGCTGCAGACCAACTGCTGTTCCCGGGAAGGGGGAGCAGCTGCAGGGCTTGGCGGGCACGCAGGGTGCTGAAGCATCTCTGTGCTCTCCCTGCAGCTGCACAGATGCTTCAGGCTGCAGGTGGAAAGCTACCGAAAGCTGGGCCGGCTGGAGAGTGCGCTGGCATCCTGCGTGCAGTGGCTGACGTCGCTGCAGGGCCGCATCGGGGAGCTGCTGGCGGAGCCCATCGGCCTCTGGGCCCGAGTGAAAACGGACAGCGTGAAGCAGGGAGCGGAGGATTTGCAGCTGAGGTGAGGAGCTGCGCTTCCCGTGCTTTTAAATGCTGAAGGAGCTGAGGCTGTGCAGCGTGGGGGAGGCTCCGAGGAGACCCGAAGGCTCCTTTCAGTGTTAAAACTGGGGCGGTAAGGAGGTCTGGCTTTGAGGTCCTTTCCAGCTCAAACCGTGCCGCGATTCTGTGGTTAAAATGATGCCGTGGAGCAATGCACCACGTCCCCACGCAGCCCTGTTTCCACCAGAACCCTGAAGGAAGAACTGTCTGCTCACCACCTGGACGCGGACACCTTGGTGGCCGTGCTCTTCGCCGAGCTGAGGGCTTACAAGAGCATCCGTGCTGACACGGGGCAGGAGCGCTACGGCGTGCTCTGCGACCTGCTGGAGATCTGCTCGGAGGACAGCGGGCGCCTGCACGAGCGCGCCGCCGCTTTGGTGGAGCTGGCCCAGGTCTTGTGCTACCACAACTACGCCCAGCAGACCGACTGGTGGGTGCCACGGGTGTGAGGGCTGGGCTCCGTCCTGCGTCCCTGCGAAACCCCTTGGGAGCTTCGGAGGGATTGAAGGGGTCGGAGTAGCAAGGGATTGGAGTAGTGCTGCCCCGGTGTTTGCCCTTTTGGGGGTGGTTTGGGTGTTGGGTGTCTTTTCTTTTTACAATGCATTGCGGGGGCAGAAGGCCGTGTTTCAGCTCCCATCTCTGGCAGCTCTGCGTTGGACTCCGTCCACGAAGCTCTGAGGCTGTTGGACTCGGTGCCCAGGAGTGCTGAGAACCAGCAGCAGCTCCTCGATGACCGGGCGCAGGCTCTGCTTTGGCTCTACATCTGCACACTGGAGTCCAAGCTGGAGGAGGTGAGTGGGGGCTCCTGTGGCTGCCCAAACGTGTCCCTGTGTTTTGCAGTGCCCTTTAACCTGCATCACTGCTGCCTGTAACCTGCTGCAGGGCATAGCGAGGGAGCAGAGAGTCAAAGCTCTGGGACAGAAGAACCTGGAAGACTTTGAACCCAACGACCTCAACTACGAAAGCAGGCTGCAGGAGGACGCGTTCCTGAACGCTGGCATCTCCTTCAACCTGGTGACTGAGCTGGGTGAGAGCGCAGCGGGTTTGGGTCGCTCACCCTGTAAGAAGGGGCTCCCCTGGGGTGCCTGGATTTGGGCTGGGAGTGAGGATAACCCCTGAGGAAGGGGAGGCGGTGGGGTAGATGTGGGCAGGGGAGGAGCGTGCCAGGCGGTGCTCCATGGCAGAGCAGGGAAGGGCCCTCGGGGAGGTGGTGGCACTGCTGGAAGCGCCTTCCTCCTGCATGCACTGATGGTGCTGGTGGAGGCTTTGTGCTGTGAGGAAGCTGCTCAGCCCCGTTCTGTGCCCGCAGCTCAGTCCAAGAGCCTGGACGATGCCTTGGCCCTGTGGAAGCAGCTGCTGGCATCTCAGAGCATCCCAGCCGTGCGCAGCCTGGAGCAGACCATTGCCTCTCTTCGTGTTACGGCAGCTCTCTACAGGCTGATGGACGAGGTAACGCTGCTGGGGCTGCGGAGGCAAAATGTCAGCAGCAGAACAGCATCGTCCCTGATCGTACTGTGGGTTTTTCTTGCCTCCAGCCCCTGCAAGCCATGGAGTGCTACCTGCTGGTGCGAGGCCTGTGCAGAGCACTTGGGGATGGCTTGGGCACAGCCAGCGCTCTCTGCCAGGTCACCAAACTGCTTCTCCAGCTGGAGTGCCCCAGCTATGCCCAGGCAAGCACCATGGGGAGGAGAGGGAGGGGAGGGCAGCTGGGGACCGGTCCTGCAGCCCCAGCCCTCATACTGACCCCCTGGCTTCCAGCTCTTCCTGGAAGAGACTGAGACCTGCTTGCAGAGAGCTGACAGGGACAGCGACTCCTACCTGCTGCTGCAGCAGACCTGCCTCGTGCTCCGCAGCCAGCTGTACTGCGCCAGCCACCGCGTGAGTCTCCCTGAAAGCCCTTTTATTTTGTCTGTGGTGCTGGGAGGCAGGAGGAGACCTCGGCAGTTCTGTCTGGCAGTCGATCCTCTTGCTTCTGACCGAAGCCCACCTGAGCCACGGAGGCTCCCTGGACCGCAAATAGTGACTTTCTCCCTCCGCTGTCTCCTGTAGATCGAAGATGGCACTGCCCTCTTGCTGGAGGTGCTGCAGAACCCAGCTCTGCAAAAGACTGCCAAGGTCTGGTACATGCTCCAAGCACAAGTGCTGCAGCTGACCGCCACTTACCTGAGCCTGCCGCCCACCCACCTCTCGCCAGAGTTCAGGCAGCACATCTTTGCACAGGGTGAGCCTCTGAGGTGCTGGAAACCTTCCCCGCGCCGTGGGCAAAACCCTGGGCAAGCACAGAGCTCAGAGGTTCCCCCAAACCCCTCCTGGGACTGGGAAGGGAGGGCTGGGTTTTGTGCCAGGTAATTGGTGCCAGTGCCCACAGCGGTTCTCGTGCAGGATGGAAGACGCCCGAGACAGCTCTGAGCGAAGCCCACAAGTTGTTACGCAGCATCATCCTCCTCCTGATGGGCAGCAACGTGCTGGGCTCCCACAAGTCGACAGCAGACATCCAGTTCATGGATTGCGGTGAGCGAAGGGGTGGCGTGGGCCACAGAGCAGCTGGAAGGACACCCGTGCTCCTTCTGCCTCCCTGGGAGGAGCAGCTTTGTCACCAGCGCGTCCTTCCTGTCAGGGGACAACGTGCTGCAGAAGTGGCAAGTGCTGGCTGACGTGCTGAGCTGCTCAGAGCGCCTGGTGCTCCTCCTCAGCAGGGTGGAGGTGATGTGCAAAGCCAAAGCCTTCTGCTTGGAGGCCATCAAGCTGGCTGTGAAACTGCAGGCAATCCGATGGTGAGTGACCGTGGATGCGGGCAGCCCCGTCCCTGGGGAGGGATATCCTTTGGTGTCCCCTGCTCAGTTGGATCTGGAGCAAGCAGCTCCTGTGATGTTTGTCCTAGGGCACGTAATCCCAGGAGTTCAGCTTGCCAGTTCAAACTGAACAGCACTGGGAGTTGAGCCGTGGCTTTTCAGGGCTCTGAGGGCTGTTTTTCTCCCCATAGGTGCGTTTCTTTCCTGGTGCTGAAGGCTCAGCTGGAGCTGCAGCAGAGCGAGCTGGAGCTGAGCCACTGGAACCTGCAGCAGGCTCTGTTCCTCCTGGAGTCTGGCACCGGTGAGTCCCTGTTCTGGGCTTGTGCAAAGAGAGGTGGGGGCTGCTTCTGGGGCTTAGGTGAATAGGGGGCTGCTGGAGGAGCTCTTCAAAGCACCCTCACCTCTGCAGAGTTCGAGGCTGATGAGAAGCAGCGAGGCCCCCTGAAGATCTTGCCCAGGAAGGGCAAACCAGAGAGCAGGAAGCAGCAGGATGAGGGCTCCGAGCTCCCTGGGGAAGATGAGGGCTTTCTGAAGGGCCCCGCGCTGGAGTTCGTGGCCATGGTGAGCGGCCTGGAGAAAGCAGACGACCTCAGCTCCTCGCCGCAGCTGAAACCCAAGAGGAAGAGGAGGCTTGCCTTCCTCGCCCACCCCGCTGCCTGCCCCTGCTGCCTCTGCTCCGACCTGACCCTGTCGTCCCTCTGCCTCCGCTGGCTGCTCTGCTGTGCGCGGGGCGAGCTGGCGGCCGGCAGCGCAGCCGAAGGGCTGGGGCTGATCCAGGCCACCCTGCAGCGCTGCGGCACCGTGGGCCCTCGCTTCGCCGTCCTGCTGCAGGACAAGCTGGGCAACGGTCACCAGGCGCCTGCACCGAAGCTGTTAGATGATTTGGTGGCCACCGGCTACGCCACGCTGGCCCTTCACAGCCTGGCTGGTCCCTGGCCCGAGGAGAAGCTGGAGGAACACCTGAAAGCCGGTCTGTCCTTCCTGGCATCCTGCAGCGCCCACCTGCCCAGCCTGGGGGTCTCTAGGGCCAGCCTGCTGCTTGCCAAAGCCACGGCTGCTGTTTGCCGCTTGGCTGCCGAGCACGGAGGCTCTGTGGATGCCGTCTTCGCCTCTGCTTGGGCTTGGCAGCCAGCCCTGCCCAGTCCCACCGAGCCCAAAGCAGCAGTGGCTGCGCCTAAGATGGACAAAGCTCAACTAAAGAGGCTTAAAAACAAAGCGGCGACCACGGCATCCCCTGCGCTCAAAGCCAAGACGACCCAAGGAGCGAAGCCCCCCTCGGTGGCAGATAGCAACGATGCCTTTCTCGTGAGCGACTCTGACGCGGAGCTGCCCGCTGCTGTTGGTCAGACTGTGCCAACGTCCTGCACCCCGCACCCCAACGCCCGGCCCCACAGCAAAGCACGGGGCTCTGTGGCATCCCCTGCACGTAAACCCAGAGGGAAGAAGAGCCAGAAAGCCAAGCACGCAGGCACCGATGATGTCTTCGCTTTGGGTGACTCGGACAGCGAGGTGCCTCCCATTGTGATCCGACCGGCGGCGGCGCCCTGCACCCCGCGCCAGAAGTCGTCCTGTCCTGCAGCCAAGACGTGCAGCCGGGGGGCTGCGATGCCCCTGCGCCCCAGGGCTCCCTTCACCGTGTTCAGCGAGGCCTCGCCGCCACTCAGCAAGTCACAGCTCCTAAAAGCACCCAAAGCCCGTGGGAAAACCAGATCCCGGCTGCCGGTAAGTGGGGCAGGAGGAGGCCGGGTAGCCTCAGGTGCAGCCCTGCCACCTCCTTGTCCCCCTCTTGCAGGTGACGTTCAGCGATGACATTGGTGACACTGAGGGTCTCAAATCGGTGCTGAGCCCCGTCGCCAGCAAAGCACCCGTTCCCAGCTGCAAGACGCCGCAGTCGGTGTGCTGCAAACAGAGAGCTCTGCTCCCCCAGCCCGTGGAGGTGGGGGGCTCCCAGCTGAGCTCCTCCGTGGGCAGAGGCTGTGGGAGCAGCGCTCGGTCCCGGCGGGGACGCAGAGTTGGGGGCACAGAGAAAAAGGAGCGGGCGGCACGCAGGGCTGCGAGCTGGAAAGGGGACGAGGAACGGGAGCTGCTGAGAGCCATTGAAGAGGAGGAAAAGGTGGAGGAACAGCTTGACGTCAGCTTGGAGCTGCTCCGAGCCTCTGAGGATGGAGCTGAGGGTGAGTTTGGGAAAGGGAATGGGATTCCTGGGAGCCTTCGCAGCACCCCAAGCTGCGCGTTGTCCCTGCTGGTCCCAGCAAGAGGAACAAGCGGCTCTGTTTTATCCCACAGACAGAATCCGATGCAGGCAGGAGGGCACAGAGCTCAAGGTGCTGCGGCAGGAGGTTGGTGGAGAGGTCCTGGCACGGCAGAGGCTGGGCAGCAATGAGCCCCTGTGCCTCAGCGCCCTGCACAAAGCGCTGCCAACCGTGGATGGTGAGCGAATGTGGGGCCGCTTTGGGAGCAGGGAGGTGTGGGTGAGCTGTGAGGGGGGCGGTGTGTCAGCAAAGCTGCCACACGGGAGGAAAACAGGAGAGGATTGTTGTGAGCTGCCTGGAAAAGTTGAGTCTCCATCCCTGCAGATTGATAAGATGTGCAGCTGGGGGTTCTTAGGGACGTGGTGCAGTGGTGGGCTTGTCAGCGTTGGGTTATCAGTCAGACTTAATGACTTCAGAGGTTTTTTCCAACTGAAATTCTATGCACACAGCACAGGGAATGCAGGGTCTCCACTGGGCTTGCTGCCTGATCCCAGATTTGCTGCTCTGTCCTTTGCAGACACCTCCTCGCTGGACGCAGCCTGCGGGTTCCTGAAATCTGCCTTCAGCTGCATCAGCCACTGCCCACCCGGCACGCTGTACAGCCAGCTCTGCCAGCTGCTGGCTCTGGCCACGGGTGATCAGGACCCCATCACCACCGCCTACCTGCTGGCTGAGTCTGTCTCGGTCACCACACGCCATCAGCTGCTCAGCATCGTCCACAGGAAGCTTCAGTAGGTCCCAAAACTCCCTGCCATCATCCCCAGAGCATCGCTGGGAAGAGGCTCAGCAAATGGGTGGTTTTGGGGTTGACGTTCCTCTCCGATTGCCTTTGCAGTAAGGAGAAGAAATCGGCAGCAGATGTGGCTGAGCAGCTCCAAGGGCTGACCCTGCAGGACAAGGATGCTGCTTCGCACCACCACCACCTCAGAGAGCTCCAGGACCTCTTCATCTTCAGCCCCACAGGTCTGGGGCCCCAAGAGCGCAGCGGCTTCAGCGAGCAGCTGCAGCAGATCCCAGCTGGTGAGGATTGAACCAAACGGAGCCCCAGAGGGTGCTGCCTGGTGCCTGAAACACTCAGGGCTGAGCTGAAGGTCTGTGGGTGACTTTTTCAGGGGTGACTGTGTGTGTGTTGACCCTGGTGAGCATCCAGCCCGCCTCCGTGGGGGACACACTGCTGCTGACGCGGTTGGAGAGGGGCAGCGCTCCCATCACTGTCCGCATCCCGACTGCACTCACCAAGGTGAGGGAAGGGCTGGGTGTGAAGCGGTGGGGATGAGCCCAGGGGTGACATCGCAGCTCCTGTCCTCTTCTAGACCCCACTGAGCTCAGTGCTGAGCGACTTCGACTCCATCCAGAAGGAGCAGAAGGATGCCAGCAGCTACACCGACAAGCGGGAATGGTGGCTGTGCCGTTTCAAGCTGGACCAGAGGATGAAGGCAGGCAGAATCATACAATCACAGTATGGTTGGGTTGGAGGAGACCTTAACGCCCACCCAGCCCCTGCAGAGGGCAGGTTGCCACCCATTGGGTCTGGTTGCCCAGGATCCCAGCCATGGCCCTGAGTACCACGCTGCCCTGGGCTGTAGTGCTGGGGCTTCACTGCCCTCTGGGTACAGAATTTCCTCCTCACATCCAACCTAAATCTCCACTCTTTCAGTTTAAAGAGACTCTCCCTTGTTCTACGGCCATTTACTTGTGATATAAGTTGTTCTCCAGTTTACAGTCTCCCATTTAAATACTGAAAGGTTGCAGCGAGGTTTCCCTGGAGCCTTCTCCAGGCTGAGCAAACCCATCTCCCTTAGCATTTCATTGTAGGAAGGCTGCTTCAGCCCTCTGAGCATCAAAAGGCAAAATGCACCCCATGCCCGCACCCCTGGGGGGCTCAGACTGCCCCTGACTCCTTGTGTTCTCTTGCAGAACCTCATTGAGACGCTGGAAATGCAGGTGCTGGGCTGCTGGAAGGCAGCGCTGCTCCCTGCAGCCCAGGATCCCCTGCTGGCTGAGGAAGCTGCCCGTTTATGTGCTCAGCTGCAGCAGTGTGGCTGGTGGGGCAAAGATCCGACCCTGCTGAAGGTACGGAGCTGCCTGGGTTCGGGGTTGGGATGGAAGATGGGCTTCCGTCCCCTCTCACGCCTGTGCCCTGCTGCAGGTGGTGCTGAACGCCGCTGCCCTCCTCAGCCCTGCTGATGTGCGAGCCCTGGCCGTGGGGCTGTGCCCAGCTCAGCCCAGCAGAGCCCAGCTCCTCTTGCAGGAGGCTCTGGACAAGCAGAAAAACGGCACAGGGGAGCCTGGCGGTTCCGTCATCCTGGTACTGGATAAGGTAAGATCCCAGTGCTGCTGCTGCTCACGTGGCTCTGCTGTTTGCTGCGTTGCTCTCACCTTCCTCTTCCTCCTCCTCGTCCTCCTGCAGCACCTGCAGAAGCTGCCCTGGGAGAGCATGGCGTGCCTGAGGGACCTGCCTGTCACCCGGCTCCCATCCCTGCGCTTCCTCCTCAGCTACGCCCTGACACAGAGGGTAAGGGGGGGGAAACCCAGTTCTGCGTGCGGCTCAGCACCCCCAGTTCTGGGCTGAGGCTGACTTCTCTTTCTTCTCTCTTTGTCGTCGCTCCTCTCCTTCCTTGGAGCAGCAGGCAGACTCTGTGCTGTGCCGCGGCATCGACCCCAGCAGGACCTTCTACATCCTCAACCCTCAGAACAACCTCTCGAGCACTGAGGAGCGTTTCCGCAGCTGGTTCGAGAGGTGAGAGGAACAGGTTGCAGGGAAAGGAGGGGGGGGGAAATGTCCACATTCCTACCTTTCTCACCTCCTGTCTCGCAGTGAACCAGGCTGGAGAGGGGTGACAGGATCAGTCCCCAGCCAGGAGCAGATGCAGGCAGCGCTGCTGGAGCACGATCTGTACATGTGAGTGCTGGGGGTGCCGGAGGGTGGGCTTGGGTGCCTCAAGTCTGCGTTGGGACGGAGTTGGGGGTTGGTTGGGCATCACTGCACCTCGCTCAGCCCGCTCTGTTCCCTCACAGCTACGCAGGGCACGGAGCAGGCGCCCGCCTGATGGACGGGCAGACCATCGCCCAGCTGCAGTGCCGCGCTGTCGCTCTGCTCTTCGGCTGCAGCAGCGCTGCTCTCGCCGTGCGCGGCAGCCTGGAGGGTGCAGGCATTGTGTTGAAGTACATCATGGCCGGCTGGTGAGTAGCAGGGAGCCCTGGTGGTCACAGCAGCTCCATCTGCCCCAGTGCCACTTAGTTTTGCTGTGATGCGAAGCCACCAGATCTCCCCGTTATCTCAACCCACGTGTTTCCAGTTCAGTGCCTCTCCTTATTTTAGGTCACAGGTAGAGGAAGGAGAGAGCTTTTTTAATTGGCAATAATCTTCCCCAATTCTTAATGCCCGAGGCATTAAGCACTAGGAGATCATCCTCGATCTTTACCCGTGAGCATTTTTTCTTTGCTGTTATCACGACTCACAGACGTTTTCTTCTCATCTCCTTCCCATTTTGTCTCGCAGAGAGATGGAGGAGGAATGGGCCCATTAGCAGTAGCTCGGTCTTTCCCAGTTCCTCGTTGTTTTGCCCATCCTATTGCTGGGAGATCTTATCACTGTCTCAATCCCTACTGTTTTCTTCCTGGTTTCTCCCCATCTTGGCTCACGAGCAGCCCAAGGAAGGGTGATTTTTAACTCAATCATCCCCTGTTACACCGTTTTGTGCATGGTGGTGCATGGCAGGAGATCTTGGGGTTAGCTCAACCCCCGGCTCTGTTTCGATCTCCTTTTCCCCTAGTTTTGTGTTCTGAGGGCTGGTTTATAATAGGCCATAACGCTCTTCTCCACCTCTGCTCTGCCTTGCCCGTGGCAGCAGCACCAAGCGCTCACGGCGCTGCGTTGAGGCGAGACGTTTTCAGCTCCTTTTCTCCCCTTTTTTGGGGTCGGAGCGGGGCAGGCACCCAGCTGCCTCCTGACCCCTGTGCTCCCCGCAGCCCCCTCGTCTTGGGCAACCTGTGGGACGTCACCGACCGCGACATCGACCGCTACGCCGAAGCCTTGCTGCGGGCCTGGCTGGGGGCTCCTGGCCCCGGGGTCCCCCTCCTCCGCTACGTGGCCGAGGCCCGCCGTGCCCCCCGCCTCCAGCACCTCATCGGGGCCGCCCCTGTGGCCTACGGCCTCCCCGTGGCCCTGCGGTGACGCGGAGGGGCTCAGACCCCCATTGCACATGTGGTCACGGGGCTGCTTTTGTCTCGTTATAATTTATTTTAATTGCTGCGTTCTTATTGTCAGAGGTAAATAAAGCCGTTCCTACTGAACGTGGCCTTCCTGTGCTTGCTGGGGGCAGGCTTGACTCGAAACCCCGAACCCCCCCCCCCCTTTTTTCCTTTCTTCTCCCCCACCTCCTGGGGGCTGCCAGGGCTGTGCTGCCTCCTTTTGGGCTGTGGCAGAATCAGTGAGAAACAACGGGGCTCCCGCTCCCCGCACTTTAATTTTACAGGCGAAGGCTCTGCGGCCTTTGGGGCTCCTTGAAGTTTTGGGGTTTTTTTTGGGGGGTGGGGGTAAGGGGAGAGCGGGGGGCGGCTGCGCGGTGGTGCCGCCGTCCTCCCGCCGCCAGGGGGCGCGACGCGGAGGCGCACCGAGAGCGGCGGCGCGGGGCCAGAGCGGCGCGGCGGCCCAAGATGGCGCAGGCCGTGAATGTGTCGGAGCTGTCGTTGCCGCAGCTGGAGGTGCTCAAGAACCAGCTGGACCAGGTGGGGGGGTTGCGGGGGGGGGGCTCGGGCGGCGAGCGGGGCGTAACGGGAGCGCGGGGCCGTGCTGGGCTGGGAAGAGTTAGGGGGAAGGC